GCAGAACAGGGAAAAGTTCGTGACCTCGGGAGGAGGGGCCGGCCAGGCTGAGACCCCCCGCCCCCACCTGAGAGCCCGGCCGAGCCCCTGCGGGATTGGATGCCCGCAGTCCCTGCCCCAGCTGCGGAGAATGTGGGGAGGCGTGGGGCGCCTACAGCGGGCCGAAGAGATTCCCCCCCCCCCCAGAAAGTAAGGGCAGGGAGAATTGCTGGATCCCTAGGGAGGATACTGTGCCCCGAGTCCACACTGCTCAGCAGTCTTAATTGCGGAGAGGAGGAGCAAAGAAATAACTGCCACGCTCCCGACGGGGCGGTGGGGTCTGGCCCGGTCCGCAACCCCGAACTATCCAAAGGCAGCCCCTCTCCCGGGCCAGTAAAGATGCAGAGCTGCCGGGGGCCATGCGCGCCCCTGCCGCCCCGGGCCCTGCGCTCTGCTTGCCAAAAAGCCTGTGAAAGTTTTCCCTAACTCAGCATGCAGGCTTCTTGGCCTCCCCACCCACCCTGATTAAATGACACAAGAGACAAATGGTTGCTAGGCTTCGAGGGCGGCCATCCCTAGATTCCTCTTCTCCTGGACCCTTTCCTTAATTTATTGGACAGGAAATGGAGCCCAGGAAGCACCATTACCTGGCCCCAGATTAGGAGGAAATACTAACCTGGGCAGGGGGCTGGTAGCCAGGCCCCCCACCCCCAGCCCCTTTTCTATTCCTTGAGTTTGTCGCAGAAAGCCCAAATATTACCACAAGGAAATGTGCAGCTGGGCAAAGGAAGATAAGAGGACGAAGTGGACAGCAGCTAACAGTTGGAATAGTCCGGGCTCCTCAGCAAGCTGCACACTTAGGCAAACCCTCCTGGTGCCCAGAGCCAGAGTGCCAGGGGCCTGCCCCATCTTACACCCAACAGGAGCACTCATCGCTTCTGCCGTGACATTTTTAGCTCCAATCTCAGGAAAAGAAGGTTCTGGACTAGGCAATAGGCCTACCTCAGGGAGCCACTGGTCTAGCTGGGCAGATACCCTCGGGTAACTCTCCAGGCTCCAGGCTGACCAAAAGAGGCTCAGCAATGAAGGCGAACTGGTTGGAGGCAACTTTGTGGAGGGAGCTAGACACTGAAACTCACCATTTGCCCAACATCTGTCCACGGAACCAGTCTGTACGCATCATCGCATGTTCCCCTGCCTACCCTGCCAAGCAGGGTTTCCCGTTTTGTGGATAGGAACAGGGAGCACTGAGACATTTTCCCATCACCCTAAGTCACTCAGGGCCCTGGCCCTTCCTATCACCCTGAGTTACACAGTACTCAGAACTGGCTGCTGGGTCTGGGAAGGGCCACAGATGGGAACTCGAGGGCAGGGGTAAGTTTGCCTGAAGAGAGCAGGATGATTCTTTACACAGAGGCAGACTGCCGGCCCACAATGAAGAGGCACTGGAATGAAGTAGGAGAACTAGAAGAGCAAGGCCACACTGACCCCAGAACAGGCAAGTCTGAGTTTGCATCCCAGCCTGCCGCTCACCGCTGTGTAACTATGAGCAAGTTTGACCTCTCTGGACCTCCTTTTCCTTATCTGTGAAATGGGATTTTCCAGCCCCTGGTTCTTCTGTCTGCATCGGGGTCCAGGGTGGAGGCGCAGTCTGGGGCCCTGGCTGTCCATCAGGGGTGATGCAGGGAGCTCTTGGCCGTGTCTGGAGATGTTTGCGGTGGCCAGTAGGGAAGGTGCTGCTGGTAGCTAAAGGATAGAGGCCGAAAAAGCGGCTAAATATCCTGGAGCTCACAACAAATGTTGATCCTGCTCAGAATCTCACTAGCCCACGGCCTGCTGTCGTGGAAAGCCCCTTGGCCTGGGGAATTCCAAAGCCCGTCCCACCGCAAACCTTCCTGCTCACATTGATCATCTCTAGTTGCTTTGTCCCACCCTATAAGCTGGGGATCCAGAGACCTTCTCTTTCATCCCTAAATAAATGTGACCTGTCATTGTCTTCCTCACCCCTCCAAGCTGGAGCCAGCTCCAGCCCGTGCCTGAGCACGGTGCTGAGAGAAGCCTGGAGCAGCAGAGCTGGCAGAGCTGATATTTGTTTCGACTCTGTTAGAGACACTAAGTAAGTGAGTGCTTGTAAATTATAAGGCGCAGTTTATAAATTAAGATATAAAAATGGAAATGCAGATGACTTTGGTTCGGTTCCAAGATCTTAGGCAGCTTTAAAAAAAAAGAAAGAAAAAAGAAACAAGAAACATAGTAGATAATCAGAGACACGATCTGTTTCCAGGAAATAACAAGTATTTTTGAAAATGTAAAACTCCTCTTTCAGACTACTTACTCAACTGAGCCTGAGGAGAGGAACCCACATTGCTGCAGGGGGTGAAACGGTGTGGGCAGAGTAGCCTCTGGGGTCTCCAACTGGATCCCCCTACGTCACTGCAGGTGCTAGCAGCTCAGAATAAAGTCCATCCCCATGCCACCCATCCAGCCAGCTGTCGGTTCAGAGACCAGTGTCTATGGGCGTCTGAAGGTCTCTGAGGTACTGCGCACCAATACCAACATGATGGCTAAGACAGACAAAGTCCTCACCTTCACTGGGCACAGACGTTAGGTGACTGAGCGACCCAAACAAGGAGGGAAGAGATGAGGGGGCACCTAGTGTAGGGAGGGGCTGACAGTCCCACTGAGGACTTTCCTGAGAGGTTTGCAGGGAGAGGGACCCAGGCAAGTGAAAAGGGGCCAATGGGGCGTCAAGGAAGGGGCAGTAGAGGAAGAAAGCCCAGCACACGCAAAGCCCTGAGCTGGAAAAAAGAACTAGTGTTTGTAAAGACCCCAGTGAAGGCCAGTGTGACCAGAGCACAGAAAATAAGGGGGAGATGAGATCTGAAGGTGGGAAGGAGCCAAACTGTGTAGGACTTGGGGGGCCTCGGCAAGGAGCCCGTCTCTCATCCTGAACACCACAGACAACCATGGAAGGCCTAAGGAGAGATGAGGCATGATAACTGTTTTCTGACTCCCAAGAGGAGAATGGGTTGAGTCTGTGCCAGAGAACAAAGATGGCAGCTGGGACTCAGCAGAAATGCACAGGAGAGGGGTAGATTCAAGATAGAGCTTAAGGGAACAATCAGCAAACTCACCAATGCGTTGGATTTAGGAGGAAGGCACAGGGAACATCCAGGATGTCATCCAGGTTGGACTAGACCCAGTGGGTGGTATCAAGAGTTTGGTGATGGGGATGGTGAGACTGAGGGTCCTCAAGGGGTCCACGTAGTTGGCAGCTGAATGACCGGTTGGGACAGCAAGGAGGAGACAGGGACTGGTGGTGGAAATGTTCTTACCCTAAGTAAGCCTCGTCTCTCCTTGGTAGGTCCTTGGTGTAAGGTTGGGTGATTGGATGAGTGAGTGACACTTCAGAACTGCAGACCTAAGAGAGAAAGTATCTCAGGTACAATCAGCAAGGAAGGATAACGATGTTACTAAAGAGTGTGAATCTAAGAATACTGCAGTTTGAGGATCTATTTTTAAGTCACAAATAATCTTCAAATCCTGAACCAAACTACAAATCTTGGGGGGATGTTAGAGAGCTCATTGCTGTTCATCCCCCTCCTCTACTTTCCAATGTGCTCTACCCTACCTCTGTGGTCCTCTCACAGAACCGCAAGCTTTGGGAAGCCTTCCTAACATCACAAACATCTGGCTTCACGCTTACTGTAACAACTGAACAAATCTTCATGCAAACCACAAAGGCGTTTGGTTTGAAGGACTAGAAATTGCACCTCTGGGATTTTTTTTAAAGGAAGAGCTTGTCCATTTTTCCCCAAAGAGTTTGTCAATCCTTCTGACCACATCACCCCAATGTGCCACTCTTGTGGTTGGCTGCTGCTCAGATGGAGAGATGTTCCTGGCTTCCCGTCATGTCCTTCAGAAACTCAATGAGTATCAGAGTCTGGAACTCATTCTGAATATGCCCAATTTGCCTCTTGAATTCAGTCATTTTTTTGGAGGGCTGCCTATGGCTATTGTAGCTTTCTAAATCAAACAAAAGGTACTCAAGACCCTGGCCACAGTGTCTGATGGACTTTGTCCCCTTTTTCACCACCAAAGTAATGGATTTGGGGGGGTGTCACCCCACATCAGCTGCCCCTTCTCTTGGCAACAGGGCATGACTTTATGTTGGAGGAAAAAGCACCTCCTCTACATTCAATCCATGCTCATTTCATGAGTGCCTTCATCTCTGATTGCACCAGTTGTCTAGACCAGAAGGTTCCAGAATATTCCATTCTCCCAATCACATTGACAGGTTCAGACATGAATATACCACCCAAGTGGAGCAATATGTGCTAATAAAACTCCTTGAGAGAGCTTTTCCTTGAAATATTGGGATGCAGACTCTTTGCCACTAGTCTGGGAGTTGTGTTGCTATGTGCCTGAGAACGTTGTTAGGGCTTGAATCTGAAAGGCTCCCCAAAAGTCCCAGAATTTCATACATATCAGAGAGCCAGAGTAGGGAATTTAGGAAGTGATTGGAGATTGACCTACTGATGAGATCTAATTTGATGGCATTATTGCGAGATGAAAGAAACTCAGGAAGTGGAGGCATGACCTTGGAGGCAATATCTTGTCCCCAACCCTTCTCCTTCTCTCCCTCTCTATGGCTCTTTGTCTCCTTCCCTCCTTTCCTCCCCCTCCCTGTCTCTCTTCCTCCCTCCCTTCCTGTCCCTCTCCACCTCTCC